CTAGTAATAAATTTTAGAACGTTTATTATAAATGCGCGTTACTTCATGCAACGGGCTCATAAACATACTCTAGAAGTTATTAATGAGAATTATAATATCAAATATCAAAAATATACAATATAATTATATATAGATATAAGGTACGTGATATTTAATAACTAAACAAATTTAATCTGACTCAGAGTGATTAATTTTATTATCTTCATTTTTAATTGTAATTTGAAATTAAAATTTTGAATTTAAAAATGTATTATAATTTAAGTATTAGCATATTAGTTGTCTAAAATTGTTTTCTGTAGTTGTATGAAATCTTTTTACATTATAAAGTTCAAATTACCGTGAATTTTATTGCTATGAAATTTCTCTAAATTGTTGCAGATGAATTGATTCCGAAGTATATATGTAATTCTTTCTCTTTAGTATCAGCATTTTCCTTAAAATTCCGCTGTGGATCGTCTTCGTTAAGATTAGGAATTGACATCATGGAAAAGCTACGCTTGCGATTTTCAGATACTCTTGAAACACTTTTATTTATTTCAGTCATTTTCAAGGAACCTGTAGTATAGATATGAATGTGATCTATTAGTGACAGTACTATGTGCAACTGAAATGATACTACATTTTGCACACTACATATATATATATATATGTTACCGGCAAAACCCGAAGACCAGGCATTTTGCGAAATGCCTAGGCAATTCGAGAAATGCCTAAGAATTTAGGAAATACCCGAATTTCCTAGAGATTTACAGGCAGTTCTCGAATTGCCTAGGCATTTCTAGAATTGACTAGGCATTTCGCAAATTGCCGGGGCCGTTTTAGGCAAATTATCAATTTGCCTAAAAAGGCTTCGTCATTTCGCGAAATGCCTAGTCAATTCGAGAAATTGACTAAAGAATGGAGTGTATAGGTAGAGTTAACTTATTTTATTGTTTCGCAAATATAAAAAAGTAAAAAATTATTATTTGTTGCAACACGTCGAACTGTTATGGCATTTTGAGTTGCTCTCTCAACCGACCCCTGGCTTTGGGTGTGTCTTGGTTTTCCGTGGACAATTTTGAGTTCAGGCCATAATGATGCTAATTCTGTGATAATCTGATTCACAAATTCACGGCCATTATCAGACTGAAGGATAACAGGGGCACCGAAAGTGAGAAATATGTCTAACAGTTGATAAGCAATCTGTAAAATATAATATAATATAATATAATATAATATATATATTCTTAGGCATTTCGCAAAATGCCTGGTCTTCGGGTTTTGCCGGTAACATATATATATATATATATATATATATATATATATATATATATATATATATATATATATATATATATATATGGGACATTCCACGTCAACACGGACAGAGCTCTAAACAAAAATTGCTTTGATGGATTTAAACGTTCTAGGGCTTAAAAGATTTCTACGTTCATGTACTTTAAGATGCCGATGGGCGTTTTTTGCAAAATTCCATTTTCGATGCCAATAGAACTGTCAAAAGTCAAAAGGTCCGAAAATCTCAAAATACTTTTATGAATTAAAAGCAAAAAACGAGGTAAATTATTCTGTAACTCATTCTTTATCAGTTTTTAGGGTTCCCGAATATAAATCTAAAGTTTTTTTTTAAAAATCCAAAATGGCGAATTCAATATGGCGGACAAAATTCAAATTTGATCGGATTCGATTAAAACTTGTTACTCGGGGGTTTTTAGGGTCGCTGATTACGAATCTGAAGTCACTTTTTAAAAATTCAAAATGGCGGATCCAATATGGCGGAAAAAATTTTCAAATTTGATCCGATTCCCTTAAAACGTGTTACTCGGGGGCTTTTGGGGTTGCAGATTATGAATATGAAGTTACTTTGTGTTTGAGACTTCAAATTCATAATTAGATACGCTAAAAACCACCGAGTAACACTTTTTAATTAAATTTGATCAAATTAAAAAATTTGATCCGACATTTTTTGAATTTCTACAAAGTAACTTCATATTCATAATCTGCGACCCCAAAAGCCCCCGAGTAACACGTTTTAAGGGAATCGGATCAAATTTAAAAATTTTTTCCGCCATATTGGATCCGCCATTTTGAATTTTTAAAAAGTGACTTCAGATTCGTAATCAGCGACCCTAAAAACCCCCGAGTAACAAGTTTTAATCGAATCTGATCAAATTTGAATTTTGTCCGCCATATTGAATTCGCCATTTTGGATTTTAAAAAAAAACTTTAGATTTATATTCGGGAACCCTAAAAACTGATAAAGAATGAGTTACAGAATAATTTACCTCGTTTTTTGCTTTTAATTCATAAAAGTATTTTGAGATTTTTGGACCTTTTGACTTTTGACAGTTCTATTGGCATCGAAAATGGAATTTTGCAAAAAACGCCCATCGGCATCTTAAAGTACATGAACGTAGAAATCTTTTAAGCCCTAGAACGTTTAAATCCATCAAAGCAATTTTTGTTTAGAGCTCTGTCCGTGTTGACGTGGAATGTCCCATATATATATTATATATTTCTGTGCCTGTTAATGTTATAAAAGTTTAGAAATGCTAATTTCTTTAGTCCAGGAGCTAGCGACCAAAATAACTATCTCATTTCATACCGGCTGAAAATTTGAGTATAGATTACTGAAGACATGTAAATAACAGAAACCCACGTCTGGCAGGCCGGCGCTGGGGCAAGGGGCGGCGGCAGGGGGGCGCATAGGTGAAAAATAATGTAAAATTTCCTCATTTCATACCGATTAAAAACCTTCATAACTCAAAAGCTTACACCTACACGAGTGTAAAAATGTGCGTCTGGCAGTTCTGGGGTGGGGCAAAGTACGTCCGGAAAAGGGTTGAACACGTAAAAAATCAAAAAATTTTTGATTTCATACCGATTAAAACCTTTAGAAATCGAAAGTTTACATTCAAACAAGTGTAAAAATACACGTCTGGCAGTTCTGGGGTGGGGCGAAGTACGTCTGGCAGCCCTTCGAAGATGTAGATTTTTACATTTGTTTAAATGTAAGCTTTCGATATATGATGGTTTTAATCGGTATATGAAATGAGAAAATTTTACATTATTTTTCACCTATTCGCCCCCTGCCGCCGCCCCTTGGCCTAGCGCCGGCCTGCCAGACGTGGGTTTCTGTTATTTACATGTCTTCAGTAATCTATACTCAAATTTTCAGCCGGTATGAAATGAGATAGTTGTTTTGGTCGCTAGCTCCCGGACTATATGCTTTTTCTTTAAATTCAAAAGTTTAATTACATCGAAATATATTTATTATTTTAATGAATATAAAGACCGACTTTTCAGCTTTAACTTTGCAGCGGTTCCTCTTATACAATTCCACATAAAAGTAGTGTAATTGTTAACGTATATCACTTAATCGCAGCTTTAGATATGTAGTTAGATATTTTTAAAACAGTATGTAGGCGATTACGTTTATTAATATTAGATAGAGTTATATAATACAATGTAATTTGTTAATAATTTTTTAGTTTTCTTATTATTACCTACTTGTAGTGGTCCGACTTTGGGATAAGTTGTCGGGACAACCATCCTCGTCAATGGAAGATGTACCGTTATCATTAGTCTAAGAATTCAGAGAAAAAGTTTTTCGTTTTTATTTCTCATCTGCAAGTCTTTTTCTCAGATTTATCTTCACTGTCAGCTTCCCTACCTTGAAATTTTTGTTGGGATTTTCTTTTTCTTCTTCCCTGCATGAGCTCTTTGCGTAATAAATCTGCACTAAGGGTATGAAACTAGGTGAATTCCATCTTAGCACAATTATGGAATTGTGCTATTGACCATTATGTAATTTGTTACAAACAAATTATTAATTTAAACGTTAACATTCATAAATTTCCATAAAATTTATTACTGAGGGGTTTTTTGGGGTTGCGGGTTTCGAATCTGATGTCAGTTTTTCAAAATTTCAAATTGCAGACAAATTATAAAATAAATGTTATGAAATTCAATAATTACAATTCACAATATTAAATTAAATAGTAGATATTAAATTATGACTTTATTCGAGAGATCACTAAACTTTCAACAAAAACAACTCACGTTGCTGATACACGAGGTAATAAATTTACTGATTCTAATTTCAAACATCTTCCAAATTTTCAGGTACTTGTTTTTAAGATTTTGAATTATTTTTTCCGTCTATTGGATCTGTCATTTTGAATGACCTCGGAAATCCCCAAGTAATGAAAGTTATAGAAATCTATACATTATTTTGGGAGTAATTGTTAATTTGCTTTTCACGACCTGGGTCATACTAATAACATACTTTTCTAAAGATAAAAAGCCTAAATTTTCTCCATATTCTTTCTTCGTTTGTAGAACTACTCAAACAAGAAAGTATTGAATATCAAGCTTAAGCGAAAATTATAACGCAAATATTAACTTGACATGTTTAGACAATATTCATAATTCATGGTAAGAAAATAGAATTTGCTGTAACCTTTTAATACGATTTTAACGCGAAACCGTATTGAGCTTAGTTACTACCAAATTCCTTCTCGTAAACGGCATTTTTATACTTTAGGATATGCTGGAAGTAATTAAGTTACTCTTTTCGATTCCACATTCCATATTTAACAGTCCAATTTCATTTTCCTCCTTTCGATTCCACATTTTACATTCTGATGTCACAGTCCGATTTTACATGCCACATTCTGATTCCAAATTTAACATACCAATTCTACCAGGTTCTATTAAAACGAAATTTATTAACCTAGTTGATGGGTATGATGCAAGTAAATGCATCTTTTTCTAATCAATGGGGTTAGAAAAGGATACCTTGTGCTTCCAGCGCTAACAGCACCAACCTCGAAAAGGCCCTAAAGCTGTCAGATAAATCCAACAGAACAAAGTCATGCAAATTAGCAGATATTTATTTTCTGTCTTTTATTATGCTTCTTTTTGAAGCTACTTCAAAACTGATACATAAGATATTTGTCATTTTAAATATTTTGCATACTACTGAAGACTAAGGAAAGACCGTTTGAATATTTCATTCAGCATCTCATAGAAATCCAATTTTATTCTCGGACAGACATTAATACAGTAAAGTAAGACATTGATGTTTGGAGAATCTTAAAAAATGTTATTAAAATTATTTTTATATTTAATTAATTAACTGATGAATTTAATTTTAATTTGACCTCACTAAGTTCATATTTTTACTTTCTACAACTAAACAAAATCGAATTAGTAGAGGTGTGCAAAAAGCTCGAATAGCCAAGCCGAAATTTTTTTTAGGTGAGCAGCGTTCGAACGCAAGCATGTAAACACAGCCTTGGTCTTTAATTTCAAACATTATTTCAATTTACTACTTATAACATATGCGGCAAGTATTTGAATGTTCTCGACTCGACAAAGGATCAAGTTTCGAGATTTTTGCAAACCTCTGCTGATTAGTATTACTAGATTACATTAATATTAAATTTTCTCTACCCTTGTAAAAAATTGAAAAGAAAGTATAAATATTCTTCCAACGACAAATGTAGTAGGTCTAACTCCTCTTTCCATTATAATGAGTAATAGTTTTTTTGTTTCACTTGATAAAGAATACCAATTTGACTGATATCTGACAAAAAATATTTCTTTAATTCAAACAATTTTGTTAGATGAACATCATATGCATGAACATAACGTCGGAGCTACTGCAATACGGCGTTTTCGCAATTTCTTTAAGGGCAATATTGCATAACAAATTATTCAAAAATTAACCTTTAAGGAATTTGCGAACTAATTGCAGTAGCTCCAACTGTAATAATCTTTATTACTGACATATGTGACGCTCTACGATGAAAGTGAACTATCTTCCAAATAACATTAAGTGCAGTCTTCCGTGCGCTGTACACGAAGGCTGAGTCTTCTTTTTTGGAGCGTCACATATGTAAAGATCAAAATTTCAAATTATATTTTTACAAAAATTACATAGACAAAACATTAAACTCTATTCTTCCCAACACCATAATACACCACACCGACCATACAATTTCTCTTCTAAATTAGCAATTGGTAAACTAAGCTTGGTGTGGGAATCCCTACATAAGCCTCTGCATTGACTCGCATAGAGATCGTTCATTTCAACATTTTCTTAGAAACGTTTAATGTAGTACAAAATTTGCTAGAACATTAAACGTTTTAAAATGTTAATTTGGCAGACATGAAACGTGAAAGAAACGTTCTTTATATAAATTGTACAAATCTATATGTAATAAAATATTCTTTATATAAATGTTCTTTGCCAAGTGGAATAATATTGCACTGACCCGACGATGACTTCTCCCGTAATTCAAATTATTTATGTTCAAATCTGTAATCTTTGTAAACTATAATTTAATGTTTTGATCTTGACTAGTAAATTTTCTAATTAAAATATACGTTGTAACAAAGAATCGCAAGTCATACATGCAGCTCGAAAAGTTAATACTGTTATCCAGTAAATGCTGAGTTGGTAAAGTTAAAAGGAAAATATGAAACACTTGACATGCAGCGTACACTCCAAATCTTAGACCAGCCTCGGGGTTCTTAGCACTTAGAACATACTAATTCATTGGATAAAATTAAAAAGTAAGATAATATTTTTTCAAGTATTACAAATTGCAGATTCGATCGAGGTGAAAATGATTCTTCCATAATTCGTCCAACTTTAAGCAGAAATTTGTACAGATGTTAAACGCAATTTTCTATGGGAAATATTGCTTGTTTCATTCAAAAAAAGGAAGATTCACAGCATATTTAGAAAACACGTAAGTTTCAGAGACAATGCAAAACGGACGTAACTCCCTTGATCGTATTTCATTAATATATATATATACTGTAAATCTTGCTTGCATGTATTACTGATTTCGAATTAAGAACGAATCATTTTTACTTACACTGAGAAAATAATCTATTTAATATAAAACTAATTTCCTTTTGAAATGTCCTTTATTATTGCTTAAAAGAATCTTTCAAATTAAAAACAACTTGACGTTTATTGATAAAACAAATTAATTACATGAAATTTTTAGGAATAAGTATGTGAGATAAAGTACGTGAGAATGATGAACTTAATTCACTTAAAATAAAAGGATTCCTTCAAAGTTAAATAGATTCTTTTGTCAACGACTATTTAACCTTTTGCGGCATAGTGGTAACCCAGATTACCACCTTTTATATTGAGAAAATATCTGTTTATATACAGTCTTGTTCAAGTAAAATTCAAAAATCTTTGTTTATTAATAATCAAAACATTGTTAAATGTCGAAAAATTTATAGCGAATGAGGTTACGTGCGAAATTATAAACAACTAGGGGAGAGTGGTCCTAAGTTGGCCGTGGGCCTAAGTTGGCCACCCTGCATTTCTCAGAGATGGTATACTGGACGAATCTATAATTTTGTGGTATGATATATTGATAAACCATGATATAATTTATGGACCTAATTATAATCTAAGATTCTTCTACGCATTGTGAGGACAATAATATTGTTTTTGACCAAAAGAATTTGATTTTTCTTGTTTTTTCGAGAGCAGCTACAAGAGATAAATAATTAAAAATTTCTAAATAAGTGTGTGCGCTAGTTCCTTTATTTAATGTTGTAATAAGAGGTTCTGTTGATTTTTTAAATAAATTTTTTTTATTAGCGTAATAATTTAAAACTTGTAAAAATCTACAGTGGTCCTAAGTTGGCCACCTATTGTTTTTGTTTGTTTTTATTTATGTTTTATTTCTTTTTTGTGTTTTTTATCACGAGAAAGACCGTAAAAGTGTAACGTAGGAATTAAACAACCCAGTAAAAAAAGAAGTATTGAGTGGAGCGTTTAGGAATTGAGTGAAGCTCTGAGCCAGTACGGATTTAAGTAAAAACCGTATTGGGACGTCTGACTCAATCTTTTTTTCATCCGCCGAATACGGTCTTATTTTAGCATTAAAATTAAAATCACAAGACCAGAGTACAGATTATAAATTGAAAGCACAATTGTCCTGGAATGTAAAAATGCCGATTTCGATAAGAAGCAGTGAATATTTGTTAAAAATTGGTAAAAGCAAAGTTTGATAAGCGCGACTGAATTTACCATGTGAATAAATGAAGTGGTATAAGTTTAAATGGACGAAATGGACTGAAAGAAATCTACTGTTACCGACAGAAAGTTCCTAGAGAATTGTGGTAAATTCAACAAAACAATGAAATTTCATTGTTTAACAATTCTCTAGGAACTTTCTGTCGGTAACAGTAGATTTCTTTTCGTCCATTTAAACTTATACCACTTCATTTATTCACATGGTAAATTCAGTCGCGCTTGTCAAACTTTGCTTTTACCAATTTTTAACAAATATTCACTGCTTCTTATCGAAATCGGCATTTTCACATTCCAGGACAATTGTGCTTTCAATTTATAATGTGTACTCTGGTCATGTGATTTTAATTTTAATGCTAAAATAAGACAGTATTCGGCGGATGAAAAAAAGATTGAGTCAAACGTCCCAATACGATTTTTACTCGAATCCGTATTGGCTCAGAACTTCACTCAATTCCTAAACGCTCCACTCAATACTTCTTTTTTTACTGGGAAAGACAAAAAACAAAAAAAATGGTTTAAAAAACATTAGAAAAAACGTAGTACAAAAACGCCTGTCTCTACAGCCATCCACCACTGTAAATAAATGAAATAAAATATTGCTTCATTTTCTAAACAAAAATAGTTAAATAATGCGTTTTTATTCTCCTAAATGTATCAAATTTTTAAAATTTCTGCGTAATTGAAAAGAATATGCATTTCTTCCTTATACTCAAGCGAAAAAAAGTGGTGGCCAACTTAGGACCAGGGGGTGGCCAACTTAGGACCGCTATTTCTGAAATGTCCAAAATGCATCTTTTCACTATTTATTGTATTAAGACTACAAAAGCTATTCTATAACGTTCTAAATCCCACAAAATTATAGCAAAACGGTCTCTAAACACTAATATATACTTGCCGAAGTGATTAAATTTCATTTTGTTACTATTTTCGACCAATTTGCTTAGGCGGCCAACTTAGGACCACTCTCCCCTATAAATAAATAAATTTAAGAACAAAAAAATTTTTTTTTTAAATTCAATCGACATTGATTGAAAGTCTTCACTCGGGGGTTTTTGGGGTCGCTGATTACGAATCTAAAGTCCGTTTTCCAAAATTCAAGATGGCGGATCCAATATGGCGGACGAATTTTTTTAGAATTGATCGAAATCGCTTGAAAGTCGTTACTCGGGGGTTTTCGGGGTCGCTGATTACAAATCTGAAGTCCGTTTCCCAAAATTCAAAATGGCGAATCCAATATGGCGGACATATTTTTTAAAAAGTGATTTGATTTGCTTGAAAATAGTTACTTGGGGGTTTTCGAGGTCGCTGATCACGAAACTGAAGTCCGTTCTTAAAAATTCCAAATGGCGGATCCAATATGGCGGACGAATTTTTTAGAATTGATCAAAATCGCTTGAAAATAGTTACACGGGGGTTTTCGAGGTCGCTGATCACGAATCTCAAGTCCGTTTTCCAAAATTCAAAATGGTGGATCAATATGGCGAAAGAATTTTTTTAGAATTGATCGAAATCGCTTGAAAGTCGTTACTCGGGGGTTTTCGGGGTCGCTGATTTCGAATCTGAAATTACTTTCAATAAATAAACGTTAAATTATTAAATAATTGTACCGTCGGCATTTGCGTTACCTGATGTACACTGCGGGGAGGTTGCACGTTCGGGATTTGTACATCGTTTAGCCCTGAAAAGGGCAGTTTGGTAAATACTGTTCAAAACTTTATAATAATCAAATTGAGCTGTTTATTTCCTAATAAAATTAACTAATTAATTAAAATCAGCGGATTTTAATTGCTATTATAAAGTTTTGATGTGTCTTGCTTTGAACAATTGAATTTTATTTTCAGCAGTGGTAAGCAGCGAAGCAATTCGCTTTCAGTAAAATTCATTTGCTTGAGTCCAGTTAGTATTTTAGTTTCTTTGAACTTTTAACAGTGTTTTGTTTATTGTTTGTTATAATCAACGTAAATATGCGTTTAGTCAAATATTGCTGATTTATAACTTGTCTTTTTTGCGCTTGTCATTTGTTTCGTCAAACTATGGATAGTATTTTGTTTATTGTTTGTTACCATCACCGTAGGTATGCGGTCAGTCAAATAATGCTGAATTAGAATTTGTCTTTCTTACGCTACGTTTAGAAGATGCATTGGTAGGACACAAACTACCAAGTTCAACTAGGAAGAAACGTAAATTAAGTACAATCTCTTCTTACAAACCAAAAGTGTCAGAGGAAAAAAGAAAAAGTCAATCAGCTCATATGCCTAAAATTATCGCTTGACCTAGACGCTGCGCTCATTGCAGTACTAAAGCCGACCAAAAGCGAACATCATGGATGTGTAAAACTTGCAATGTACCACTCTGCCTGTTTCCCACAAGAAATTGCTTCGCTGCTTACCACTGCTAAAAAAAAAATTCACTTGATCAAAGCAAGAGACATCAAAAACTTTATAATAGCAATTAAAATCCGCTAATTTTAATTAATTAGTTAATTTTATTAGGAAATAAACAGCTCAATTTGATTATTATAAAGTTTTGAACAGTATTTACCAAACTGCCCTTTTCAGGGCTAAACGATGTACAAATCCCGATCGTGCAACCTCCCCGCGGTGTACATCGGGTAACGAAAATGCCGACGGTACAATTATTCAATAATTTAACGATTATTTATTGAAAGTAATTTCAGATTCGTAATCAGCGACCCCGAAAACCCCCGAGTAACGACTTTCAAGCGATTTCGATCAATTCTAAAAAAATTCGTCCGCCATATTGGATCCGCCATTTTGAATTTTGGAAAACGGACTTCAGATTCGTGATCAGCGACCCCAAAAACCCCCAAGTAATGATTTTCAAACGATTTCGATCAATTCTAAAAAATTTCGTCCGCCATATTGGATCCGCCATTTTGAATTTTGGAAAACGGACTTCAGATTCGTGATCAGCGACCCCGAAAACCCCCGAGTAACTATTTTTAAGCGATTTCGATCAATTCTAAAAAAATTCGTCCGCCATATTGGATCCGCCATCTTGAATTTTGGAAAACGGACTTCAGATTCGTAATCAGCGACCCTGAAAACCCTCATAAGCAATTAAGCATTTGTGATTTTTAAATTAATGTTATAATGTTATGCATGCCGCAAAGGGTTAAAATTATGACGTATAAGTAATTGCAAGTGTTCTTATGGCTCCTCCTTTATTCTTAAATTTGACTGTACTTACCTGAACTCCTGTGATACTTAAGTCTACAACACTGAGTGCAAATACTAAAAGATAAGCAGTTGAAAAACAATCCTGAATATCATTGACAAATCTTGAAAATTAAAACTTGTTAATATAAATGAAATGGTAGCGGTATCAGTTGCCCACATTTCAACTACATACAGAAAAACTGCATACATTAAAGTGCACACAGGAAAACTGCATAAAAACAAATTTACAAGTTGATGGTTCAACCCTATAACGCCCAAATGTGCTGATTTTTAACTTCGGTTTCAAGCTCATAATATTAAAAGGAAAAAATTATTAAAAATTCTACAAGGACATATCCATACGTTTTTAGGGTCGCTCTTTCGAATGGCATGATCAAAATTTCCAAAAAGTGACGTTTAACCCTTATTTTTTTAAAAATACTAAAAAAATACAAGATTTTGAAAAGTAAATTTTTTTCAGATCCAATTTTAGTTGTCATATTTTGGTATTTTTTAATTCAAAATGGCGCCTAAAAATAAACAATTTTCCAAAATTTAACACAGGATGGATACAATTTTCAAAAGTTCATGAAATCGCTTGAAATTTGTTACTCGGGTGTTTTTGGGGTCGCTGATTATACAAATATAAAGTCAAATTTAAAAAATTTAAAATGGCGGCTCCAATATGGCGGACGACAATATTAAAACTTCATATATTGGCTTCAAATTTGTTACTCGGGGGTTTTCGGTATTGCTGATTACGAATCTGAAGTCAGATGGATATGGGGTTTTTTTTAAATACTTGTACATCAATGGACTGTAATCAGGTCTTTCGGTTTTACAAATAAATTAGTTTATTTAAAGTTGTTTGCTTATTTAACAAAAAAATCAAGAAAGCGGGTAATTATTTTTCCAAAATGGCACAGAAAATTCAAAAGTAAATATTTGTCTTTATCGAACGATCAGATTTTAGTCCTTTGTATATAAAATCATCAGAACAAAGTGTGATAAATAGATTTTTTGAAAGTTGAGAAAATGGTACTTAAAAATAGTCTTTTTTCAATGGAATTTTACAACTGCTCATGCCTCCTGAACAAGGAATTAAAATCATGATCTGCCTCAGAAAAAATATCATCGGACTTACACTCAGATTTAGCATCGCCATCATGCAAGTAAGATTCGCCAGAATTATTAGCGGATGAAATTATGTTAGCATTAATATATTTAGTAGAGTTGTGCAAAAAGCTCGAAGCTCGAGGCTCGATCGAGCTTTTTCGAGCTTTTCATTTTTCGAGCCGAGCCGAGCCTAATCAGTTCGAGCTCGAGCCGAGTTCAAGCCGAGCCGAGCTGTGTAAAAAGCTCGAATAGTTTCGAGTACTCGAGTTAATTCGAGTACTCGAATTTTTCGAGCACTCGAGGGAATTCGAGTACTCGATTTTTTTCGAGCTCTGAGTAAATTCGAGTTCTAGAGAAAATTCATAGAATTTTCGCATTTATTATATTTAGCAAATAGAAATATTGATTCAGTAATTCAAATAAATTCGAAATTTTTAACTTATTAATAGTTTTTTTAGTAAGTCAAAAGCTCGAATCCATTCGAGTACTCGAATTCACTCGAGTGCTCGAATTTAATCGAGTACTCGAATTTTTTGAGTACTCGAAGTCACTCGAGTACTCGTAAATTTCGAGTACTCGATACATCGAGCCGGCTTGGGCTCGGCTCGGCTCGAAAAAATTTCGGCTCGGCTCGGCTCGACTTTTCGAGCTTTTTGCACATCTCTAATATTTAGTCGTCTGCCATTTAAAATTTTTAAAATCTAACTTCAGATTCGGAATCAGCGACTTCGAAAACCTCCCGAGTAACACATTTGAAGCAAATAAATGAAGTTTTAATATTGTCGTCCGCCATATTAGATCCGCCATTTTTAATTTTTTAAATTTGACTTTAGATTTGTAATCAGCGACCCCGGAAACCCCGGAGTAACAAATTTCATTCGATTTCATGAACTTTTGAAAATTGTATCCATCCTGCGTTAAATTTTGGAAAATTGTTTATTTTTAGGCGCCATTTTGAATTAAAAAATACCAAAAATCTTGAAACGCAAAGCATATTTTCAAACTAAAACTATCGGGATCTGAAAAAAATTACTTTCCAAAATCTTGTATTTTTTGAGTATTTTTGAAAAAAGGGGTGGCATTCCAGGAGTAATTTACTACTTTTCGGAGCACCCTCACCGATTTCTTTCAAACTTGGTAGTATTACATTTGTTGGTCTAAAGTTTCAGAAAATCAATTTTTTAAGTAAAATCAATTGTTTATTTAAAAGTTACAACAATTGCTCAAAATTGTTTAAATGCCCATATCTTTTAAACGGTTCAAGATAATTTAGTTTACTTTTTTGCTAAAAATTCATAAAGACGAGACGCTTCAAAAATGTTATTAACATTTTTTTCTTATTTTGTTAATTAAAAAAGTTATTTAAATAAATAATATTAACTTTTGATCAGGATTTCAAAATTAAATGACTTACGAACCAAAAAATTCCTTTTTTTTCACACTTTTATATTCCGAAGAAAAACAGTTGCTAGAGTTTTTCAATAACTTATAATTTAAACAATGATTCGCTTGTTTACAATTATTTTGCAACTAAATGATCATCTGTTCTCACCTGCGCGCGACACTGCTACGTCACGTCCGTCTGTCTTCAGAATATATTTTTGACAAGCGTGGAAAAATTGAGGTTATGTTTAATCAAAACAACACATTTCAATCTTTTTAAAGTTTTTAGCAGTCATGGAAAAAAAAGTTAAATCAGGATATTGATATTCTGATATCCTAAGACTTTAAAAAGATTGAAATGTGTTGTTTTGATTAAACATAACCTCAATTTTTCCACGCTTGTCAAAAATATATTCTGAAGACAGACGGACGTGACGTATAGAAGTGTCGCGCGCAGGTGAGAACAGATGATCATTTAGTTGCAAAATAATTGTAAACAAGCGAATCATTGTTTAAATTATAAGTTATTGAAAAACTCTAGCAACTGTTTTTCTTCGGAATATAAAAGTGTGAAAAAAAAGGAATTTTTTGGTTCGTAAGTCATTTAATTTTGAAATCCTGATCAAAAGTTAATATTATTTATTTAAATAACTTTTTTAATTAACAAAATAAGAAAAAAATGTTAATAACATTTTTGAAGCGTCTCGTCTTTATGAATTTTTAGCAAAAAAGTAAACTAAATTATCTTGAACCGTTTAAAAGATATGGGCATTTAAACAATTTTGAGCAATTGTTGTAACTTTTAAATAAACAATTGATTTTACTTAAAAAATTGATTTTCTGAAACTTTAGACCAACAAATGTAATACTACCAAGTTTGAAAGAAATCGGTGAGGGTGCTCCGAAAAGTAGTAAATTACTCCTGGAATGCCACAGGGTTAAATGTCACTTTTTAAAAATTTTGACCATGCCATTCGAAAGAGCGACCCCAAAAATGTATGGATATGTCTCTGTAGAATTTTTAATAATTTTTTTCTTTTAATATTATGAGCTTGAAACCGATGTTAAAAATCAGCACATTTGGGCGTTAAAGGGTTAATTATCATTTAGCTTTCTCATTATGATAAACAAATTTCTCCTTGAGAATGCAGAAATGGCTCAAGATATGAAAATAATTTTTAAATTGTTTTACGAATATACACACGGGATGACCCCCTTGAATTTAATTTACGAAAAGCACAAATTTAAACTGAATGCCTTTAAACTGACTTTAGGAAAACTACACACTAGCTTATTTTTAATAAGTTTAATGGAAATAGACTTGTGTGTAGTTTTCCAGTGGTCAATTTAACTGTATGCAGTTGAAATTAATTTCACTTCTTTATTTAATTTTTTAATTTCTTAAATTTGCTTGAATACAATTTTCCCCTGTGCACTTTAACGTATGCAGTTTTCCTGTATACAGATGAATTGTGGGCAATTGACACCGCCCCATGAAATGTTTTGTAACAGTTTTTTAATTAAATTAGAAATTAAGTTATTAATTCTAACTTTATATTAATGTAAAAGATCATAATAAAAATATACAAACAATAGAACTTTTCTGTGCATTGATACACAAATTTTTATTTCACGTTGAAGATTCTTTTGAAAAGTATCATTGTTGACGGATTTAGAAGTTTCATTTATCGCAGTAGACAATTTATATCTGTGAATATTAAACATATGCTATATTCTATAAAACTTAAACCAGATATATTGCAAGACATATTTCAAAAGAACTGCAGTTCTATTGAATGTCAAGTATGTTGCAATAATGGAAAGGTTAAACTTTTATATTTTGATTATCAAATTCAAATACTTGAATATTGCAAGAATATTATAATAATTTCACTTTTCGTGTTGGGTTGAGCTTACATAGGGACCACCGCAAATATGATGTTTTTTAAAAAAATTGATTTTTTTGCTAAAACGTAGTATAGGATCAACTCCAATACTTTTCGCTATATTTTTTCTATAATCTACACTATAGTCATCTCTAGAAATGTGTATTCTCTTTTGTTGCGGTATATTTCCTTATGAGTAGAAGAAGGGCAGAATAATTCCAGTTTATAAGAGAAACATTGAAAATTATAGACCTATAACACTATTTAGTGCTATTTCAAAAATGTTCGGGGCGGTATCAATTGCCCTCAATTCAACTGTATACAGGAAAACTGCCCACAATAAACTGCATACTGGAAAACTGCATACAAGCAAATTTTAATAATAAAATTATTAAATTTAATTTGAAAACTGTATAAATCTAAACTGCATACCGTTAAACTGCACATAGGTAAACTGCACACAAGTCTAATTTTCTATTAAATTTATAAATAATTAATATTAAAAAACTCTACACAGTTAAAGTGTACATTGGTAAACTGCATACAAACTAAATTAAAAAAATTAAATTAAAAATTTATTTATTGTTCAATTGCACACCGTTAAACTGAACATTGCTCAACTGCATACAAAATAAATAAATAAATTTAAAAAATTTAATGTATCGTCAAATTGCACATCGGTAAACTGCATACATATATCAACTGTATACAGCTAAGTTCTCTTTTATGAATATATTCGCAACTGTCAACTTTATAGAAGAGAACTTAGCTGTATACAGTTGATATGTATGCAGTTTACCGATGTGCAATTTGACGATACATTAAATTTTTTTAATTTATTTATTTATTTTGTATGCAGTTGAGCAATGTTCAGTTTAACGGTGTGCAATTGAACAATAAATAAATTTTTAATTTAATTTTTTTAATTTAGTTTGTATGCAGTTTACCAATGTACACTTTAACTGTGTAGAGTTTTTTAATATTAATTATTTATGAATTTAATAGAAAACTAGACTTGTGTGCAGTTTACCTATGTGCAGTTTAACGGTATGCAGTTTAGATTTATACAGTTTTCAAATTAAATTTAATAATTTTATTATTAAAATTTGCTTGTATGCAGTTTATTGTGGGCAGTTTTCCTGTATACAGTTGAATTGAGGGCAATTGATACCGCCCCAAATGTTCGAGGACCTTATATTTGATTTATTGTATATGCTGCGGTTTCTAACATAATTATTGATGAACAGCATACTATTAGTTATCTTTTTAGAGTTCCGTACACCTACGGTGTATCGGCGGAACCCTATTGGTGAGACTCTTGTGTCCGTAGCCAAATCGTGTACCCCCCCCCCCTAGCGGCTAAACTTTTTGACCTACAGAGCTCAAATTTGGTCCAGATATGTATTTTCACTCGTAGATTACAGGAAAAATATAGCAAATGTGATTGGACGTGATGGGCATAGCGTTGTCAAGGAAATAACAAGATTTTTGGCCAAAAATGCATAAAAAGTGACCATTCCCCCCCCCCTTAACTTCTAAACTATTCGACATGGAGAGCTGAAATTTTGCATGCTGGTGTATTTTTACTCGAATATTACAGGAAAAATATAGAGAACTTGATATGTAATGATGGCCATAGCGTTGTCAAGGAAAAACTAAAAAATTTAAGGAGGAACTGGATAAATATTAGAAATTCTTGAAATTTTGAGGTTTTTTTTCTTTTGATATAATAAATAAGTACCAAAAATTTCAGAATTTTTCACTGCATAGTTTAAAAGTTATAAAATTATAAATTTAACACGGTCTCTTATGGAGAAACCAACAAATTGGATCTTCACAAACGAAAAAATACTGTTTAAAAATCTCAATTTTTTTAATATAAATATATATGAAAGCTAAAGATGCCAGTTTTAATAAATAATTAATTTTGTGTGTCTTCACAAGCTAGTTTAACAGAAAATAATAAAAATACGAAAAGAAACACAAGTTTCTCAAAAGTTTTAGTAGAAACATAGCAACGTCGCAGAAAAAATACAGATAGTTGACGATAAAGAAAATCGAACCAATCATAATGATGCGCGCCAAATTTTAAAACAAATCTCTTATTAATAATATTGAAAACGAGAGTTTAATGAATTTATTAATAATAATTGAAATTTAAAATTATTTATTGTACTATAATTAAGAATTTAAATAATTAATTAATCAAATTTAAATATTTTTTAATTTTAAATTATTCGAAAATCTAATTATTAGCCATTTTATTTTAATTTTCGTTTCTTAATGGTGTTCCGGAGTGATCGCCTTTTAAAAATGGCTGCTCAAATATATACTTGATTTGAAAATGATTTTTCTCCCAATTCGGGCAGTTATTGCAAAATCGGAGAAAATACTCTTGTATAAATATCCTGAATATTTTATCTTTCATTTGCGCGCAAAAAGTAAAAGATTTATTTAGATTTACAACGACAGGAAGTAAAATAGGAAAAAGTTAAACAAATGCGCGATACATAAAATTACCACCAGAGGGCACCACCTAATGGGCACATCTAATTTTCTCATTTTACTTCCTGAAGTCGTGTATTATATTGGATTTTTAATATTCAATCTCTTGTGCACAAATGAAAGAACAAAATTTCAGGATAACTGGTATTTTTCCCTATTTTGCAATAATTGTCCAAATTGGGAGAAAAATCATTTTCAAAATATATATAAACACTATAACTTAGAAAATTGAAAACAAATATCAATTATTTTCATATCTCTCATATTGCGCTTGCGCTTGAAGTTGCTTTCAGTTGAACTGTCGCATCGCCTCACACTTGTGTAAAAATAGTGCTAACTCACTCGCTCATGCAGTTACTAGACTATTCGACAATGCTGCCAACGTTTGCAAAAAAAAGTTTTCAGATTGCAACGTTGCCGTGTTTTTCAGTTGATTAAAAGATTTCTTAATTAAAAAATTACAATAAAAAAATCATTATATAGCATAATATGCTATATTTTAACTAATTAAACATTTTAAAAACATATTTACAGCATATTTCCTAATAGATTAGAAATTATTTTTTAGTAACTTTTATTTTCTTAGGTTATAAACTCGTACATTCACGACCAAAAATTTCATTCAGCATTGTTAAGAAATATTAATTTCTTTAAAAAAAACATTTTAATTATTATGTAATTGATATTTTTTAGTCATATTTAATTACTATTTAATTTATTCGCAACATTTAGACATTCCTATATTGAATACTTTTAGAAATAAATATTTCCCCTAAATGTCATAAACTTTTTGCCCGATTCACCGTCCAGTTCCTCCTTAAAAAAATTTTTTTTTTCCCTAACTTTTTCATTATTTGACCTAATGAGCTAAAAATTGGTATCCTAGTGTATTATTACAGTCTAACGACAAAAAATTTATTTAAGAAACTTTTTAAAAAAAAATTTAAAAAATTTTTTTAAATTTTTTTTTCAAAAAAAAAAATTTTTTAATTTTTTTTAGTTTAAACACGTGACACTAAATATTTTAAGGAAGAGTGAAATTTTAAGAGAATAAATGAGAGATTGTTTTCTGACTTTAATTTCTTAACTAAAAATAAAAAAAATTAGACAAGCGAGTTGAACTCGCACTGCAATGGCGGGTTCCGTACACAAATATTAAAACAATACTTGCAACATTTATCGGTAATTGGTAGAATTAAAATAAACAATTAAAAAAATATATTAAAATCATTTGATAAAAAAAAATAACTGAAAAAAATTAAAGTATTGTATATATCTAATATTGTAAACAATAATAAGCAGAGAAACAAAATTTTCAAAATTATAGTTCCTCTGCTTATTATTATTTACAATATTAGATATATACAATACTTTAATTTTTTTTTAGTTATTTTTTTTTTTATCAAATGATTTTAATATATTTTTTTAATTGTTTATTTTAATTCTACCAATTACCGATAAATGTTGCAAGTATTGTTTTAATATTTGTGTACGGAACCCGCCATTGCAGTGCGAGTTCAACTCGCACTTGTCCAATTTTTTAATATTATAATTAACACTGATGTGTTAGTTTTTTGTAATTTCTTTTCGTGGCACTTCATAAATTCTATTATGAATTTGAAATCCTATTCGAGCGTGGTATAGTGGTTAGTGTATTCGATTTCGGTGCGTTCTAATCTTAGATAGGTGTAGGTTCGAATCCCCAAGCGTTACCCGGTAAGAAGCGAAGAATAGAAAAGATTAAATTTCCAGAAATATTCTGTTAAAAGAGGATTTTTTAATCTTTCTGAATAGGCGAATTTCCAAAAAAACCCAATTCCTCTGTGAACAGCAAAATATCAGAAAAATTAATTCTTCTCTATTGCAATTTTTCTGATATTTTGCTGTTCACAGAGGAATTGGGTTTTTTTTGGAAATTCGCCTATTCAGAAAGATTAAAAAATCCTCGTTTAACAGAATATTTCTGAAAATTTAATCTTTTTCTATTCCTCACTTCTTACCGGGTAGAAATTTTAAGTTAATGTAAATAAAATTGCGATAGGTATATCGAAAAATATGTTGAATTTAACATAAAAAAAATCTGTCCGCGCAAGCGCGGACACATTCTCATCCGCGCTTCGCGCGGGGGCTCGCTTCGCTCGCAAGTTTCAGCGCGCCTCGGGGCGCGCGAATATTGATCGTCGCGCTTCGCGCTCCGGCGATTATTTTGCACGTTGCGATCCGTGTGTTGTTGCGCGCTTCGCGCGCAAATGGCTCGCTTCGCTCCCGGTGGTCTGCAATTGTTGTGCATTATTTGTGTTCTTGTTCTTGTTTCCTA